ACAAGGTGAACTTGTCAACACAGCCAAAAATAACCGACCGGAGGACGCTATCCGCAGTCGAGCCGATCTTTGGATGGACAGCGAAAATAATTCCATGACCCGGGACAAGTTCTAGGAACACATATGATGAAGCACGTACCGAAGCGTGGGGCATTCGGTGGCAATTTACTCGGAGGCATCCGTATAGAGACTGGACAGGGTATCGAAAGGACCGGATTCTGCGCGTGCACTGTTACTCGAAACGGGGAAAAAACTTAAATCCAGAAGAATGAGCCACAGTTATTCGCAGGCATTCGGGCCACAAATTAAAGAGAACAAGATGTAAGATGCAGTTCTGGTACACTCCACTTGTCGCACAGAAGGGAGATGCTCGCAAATACTTACACGGCATAGTGTCACAGCAAAGAGATTTGAGAATATATCAATCCTCGTGGAACACCCCTCAAAACCGATGGAGCCAAAGGTGGATGCGATGAATTGGATGGAGGGCAGCATTCATCTCAAGAAACGTAACATAGCAAGTCGTCTTGAGGTATGTTATACAAGCAACTGATGTGGCGCGAAGATGTGGTCAATGTAACTTCTACCGAAGCTGAAACCAGCCTGGCCCTTGTTGATCGAACTTTTCGGTGAGCCATGTGAGCAATTTACACGTTATTGTAACAAGGCTAAGGTCCCTACGATCCTAGCAAGACATTCTTTAGTCGGTTCTAAGCACGGAGATGGTAATCGGCAATCGTTAACCCGAAGGCATTTCTACAGCTCCTGTTGTATGGAATAAATTAATGCAGCCCCACGGATTACAACCGCAGTTATGCTTCAACAACACAAGTTCATGCTGGAATTCTTCAATGCTTGGGGTCGTGGCAACGAGATCTCAGGAGAGTTCATTTGATTCAGTAAGCAATAGTAGCATCATCCGGTTGGACTAGACACTCCGGATGTCTCGCTCAAAGTTCAAGTTGATAGGCTAGGGTGCATCTGCTGTCCGTCATAGCCTCATTCACTGATGCCGTACGTGGACTCGTGCCACGTACAAGTTGGAAGAATACTCGGTTGTTTCTGATAGCGTTCGCATTTTCCGCTTCGCAAGTACCCTTCACTAACGACCCAGTTTATTCAAACGTCTCCGGAGTGGAAGTTCTACCAGGTGACCGACTGACGAATCTTGAGTAGACAAACGACATAGCTCTGTTTGGGTCTTGCGTCAGCAATACGTAGGCAAACCGTATCAATGTTTCACTGCCCACGCTACCACCAACAATGGTGCAAGGTCGCTCGCACCTACGCGGATTTGAACCAGTGACCACCAGAATACAAGGTAAGCGCGTTATCGTTTTGGCCACCGCCCGAAGCAATGGCTATGCAAGCACTAATGAACAGACAAACGCGTAGCGTTGTCCGTTTCTGCATGTACTCTGCATCCTCAGGGTGCATAGTAGTCGCAGGACTAGACCGATAAACCACCACTGAAAATGGTGGATCGATTCACTTACCATGGTAGTTGCGTTGCCTCTGGTGAACACATGGTTGAGGTTACTGCGCGTGTCAGCAGCACGCGCGTGGCTTTTCAGAGGCTCAACCGTCTATGGAGACGGCTGGATATCAGCCGGACGTTGAAAGGTAGGGTGTATATATTACTGCGATAAGGTCAGTGTTATTGTATGAATCAGAAACCTGGTCAGTTCGCAGTAAATAAATTAAACGATTGGCTGCGTTTAATCACATCTCACATTTGGCGAAAACACCAGGTGAGCAATATTGTGGTCCGCTAGTTGGTTTTTCACAAGAAATATTCTGGTGCCTCGTTGGATTGTTAACTAAGTCTTAATCACTTAGGTTGCCTAGATCATAACTTCCGTATATCTGCTGACCGCCTTTCTCGGAGTGTATTATACGCCGTCGCTGCAACAAGTTGGGCAAAAGCGCGATGTGGCCAGTCCATGAAGTGGCACAAAGCCTTGAAGAAATTGATTGATACTTGGTCAGACACGTGCAACGCACTTTTTGGATGAGGGCCTCGGGATGGTCTGTACCACCGGTTGGAGAACCTCTCAGACATATCGCGCAGTCAGTGGCGTCTCTGCAATCGGTTTTTTTTGCATCTAGCTGTTAATTTTCCTTCCTTCTTGATTCCATCTTTTGCATTCTAGGTGCATGTAACCTCGTTCTCTCGCAATTTTTATTCATCGTCATTCTGGCGACGCGAGTTGTGACAATCGGATCCACTGTACTTCGGTGCCCGAATCATAGCTGTTTAACTGGACTGAAGGCTTTTGATCAGTTCTGACAACTCAGGTCAGAATTCACTTCGTGATGCTGCGGAGAGCCTGTGGCGCTTCGTTCAAATTATATACACCTCAAAAATCCATTAAATAATCCCATAATCTACGAAAGTAAGCAGCTTCCAACAACCTGCTATTGGTGAATAAGGGATAACGACGATCGGCATTCGACTCATTCAGTGCATTCGCTGGCAACAACCCAGGCCGAAAATAGGATTATCAGTGTTGATTTGCGCAGTGAACGCTTCAGTGAAACAAGGAAAGTAAGTACAACAGCAGTGATCGGAGTTTGGGTGTCCGACTTAGATCGGCCAACAAACTTGCACATAAATGTTTTATTTGTGCAGGCGATAACTAAAGATCCCAAATTTCTGCGATTCCGCAAAACGCAGAAAAATCGTGGAGTTTGCGAACTGTCGCGGACAATGAAAAATAACGCGGAATCGCGGAAAAAATGAGCAATTCATGAAGAAAGTTACTTTGGATTTGTTTTTGTTGTAATAATTATGTTGGTATTCGGAAGAAGTACCTAAGTAGTCAGTTGGACGTTGGAACATTCTTCTAGAGTATCATCACCGCCATCTGTCCACCATCTGCTATCCAAGTCCGCTTGTCTCTAGACCAAAGTGTCATCTGCTCCTCCATCCATTACGCAACCGTGTCCCATCTATCTGCCCACGCTGTGCACTCATTCTATTGTCCATTATGCAAACACTCTTTGCCCACATGTACATTAAATCCGTTCGATATCTATTCGTTAACACCTTTTGCGCACACCTGGTCGGCACACATCGCCCTCCATTACGGTCATCCGCGAACTCGATGCATTGTCGCCTACGGCGTCGAACTGACACCAAATAACGCACGGACACATTTTCGTCAAAAAGAGGGGCAAATTTTCGCAAGAAATAAAACACCGAGAAAAACGAGTATAACCAACAACCTTAGGTCGAAAATACTAGTTATATCCTGAACATGAAAGAAAGACACGGATCACTCTGAGCTACAGTAGATCGATGGACCTAAAAGTGTGTCCTTGTCAGTTGACTTAATGTATGCAGAGCAGTTCAGTTCAGATCAACAATGATCCGAACACCGAAGTGCGATGGATCTAGTAGCCTCGAAACACACCGTAAGAATAACAATAACAGTTCTTCACTTCGAACTTGGCGTCGGTTGGTGTTTCTCGACTGCCTGGCTGGAGCCCGAAGGACGATGAACCCCTATGGTTGGATACACAAGCTGACAAGGCGAGGATAAGAAATAAATGGCGTTTCTGTTCTGAGTCTCTTTGTCCATCCTTTTTCTCTGTAACTTCCCCCTCCAACAACAATCTCAACCTAATGCATAATGTGATTTTAGCAGTAGGTTACTTTTTTAGCTTTTGTAATCTGTAATGTTTATTCTCTTATCTTTTTGTTTTGCTGCACGATAGTTGTAGTATGTTTCTCACGCTCGGCGAACGTGTATTGATGATGATGATGGTGGTGATGATGATGACGATGGACATGACCTAGCCAACATAAGTGATTAAGGTTCAATAAACAATCGAGTAAGGCACGAAAAGGTTTCTTGGCAGAAACCGACTAGCGGACCTCAGCATTGCTTGCACGGTGTTCTCACCAAACGTAAGCAATACTTCGCAGGCACCGGTGGTCAAACACGGCCAAGCGTTTAATGTCTTCATTGCGAATTGGCCATATCTCCGATCCATACAGTAACGCTGACCTTATCGCAGTGTTATACACCATACCTTTCACTGGCAAGCTGATATTCCGCCGTCTCCATAGATAGTTGAGCCTATGGAAAGCCATAAGCACAAGGCTTAGGCAACCTGTGATCCATGATGGGTGCAACAGTACACTAGTGACCGAGAGACAAGTAGCTTTTGCCGGTGAATTACAAACGAGTGTACTCGGACGAGCAAGGGAGCGCAGACAGAATAGTGACTGAGGAGACCACTCTGTTTCGCTTTTTACTTTCAAATGCACAGCCGCCGTTAGGAATAACCACTGTGGAATAGTGAGGCATAAGTACAAGGCGCGGACACGCTGCTGACTAAAATGACGACGATTAAAGTGAGGACACGTCCTCCTAACCGAAGCACTAGGATGGAGAGCACAGAGCTACAGACGTGAAGGAACACATAGATGGATAATTATGTGGATTGCTACTACGTTTCACAATTATGCAGAAATATAGAGAATCCTCGACTGAATGCGCCAGCTTCTTTTCCCTGAGATAGGAACATTATTCAATGTGTGTGCTATCAACGACCCGACTGCATCAACAAGAACAACAGCCCATCGGTAACTCGAAATGATGTTTCGCTGTCGTACAAGTATAACGACCTAGTGAATGATGAGAATAGGGACCCAGTGAAAAACTTACGGACATTCAGGATCAAGTCGTTCACACGTTATCAAAAAACGCACGGCCAAAAACAAGTAGTTATCGTGCGTAAATAGAACGACATTGGTGAGATAGCTTTCTCGCGGCATTCACTGTCCTGCATCCTAATCAGCAATCTTTCCGCAGATAACGGAGCGTCAAAAACGCTAGCCAATACCACTGATTCTACCACTCCTAACACCTACGTCAACAGTTGAGGTTCATGTATGTGAGTATTCAGCGTCCAATGGTACAGCGGGTCGCAAAATCGGGCACACCGTACACCTACCTACGAATGTATTAAGCAAAACCTCAAGAACGTACCGATGCTGAATCTGCTTGCCTTTGATGATCCCAGGCTCGCAACAGTCCTCATCATCGTCGCCATCGCCGTTTGCCAATTGTTGATTACTTCCCATGCCCCAGGAGTAGGCAGTACCTGAGGAGGCAAAATACGCAGGGATTTTCATGTGCATGACAGACTACATGTGTGGAAGAAGATTAAGGGAGCGTGTATAGTGTATACAGAGGGGAAACACTGTACTGTGACATGCCCGTGGGACAGTAGTCATCAGCCCAACCCACCTTCAGTGTCCACAGCAAAGGAGCACGCCTCTCCACAACCAACCCAACAGCAGGTGCGATTGGACAAGAGTCCTTGCACCATGGTTGGCTGTGAAACCGGGATGCTACCGGACGAAACGGATTTCCCCAGACCCAAGCGACCATAATCCGAGCGGCCGATGGAGTAGACATGACCTGCAGAAAAGTGCAAAGGCGAGGGATACTAACTTAGAGAGAGGGATAGGATTGAGGTAGCCACCAAGTGAACAGAAAATCTTACAGGTGTACAATGAAACGACCGATGAGCTTTAAATTGTGTTGGTGGTGTATGAAATTATCAAAATAACGGAAGAGCAGTGGTATGGTGTGGAAAGCTACAGAAATACTGGAATCCCGGAGTACAGAGGGCAACATTGTTTTCAATGATGTCGCCAATCGCGACCTCATTTCTTAGCATAATGCAATCTTGTGTAATAAAATTTGTTGCTGCATAATAGCCGGCTGGTAGCTTTCTGGAACGATGCTCATCCGTTACTGGTAGCTCAGCTGCCGTGCACCTGTTGTAGGTTTCTTTTCAGTTCTTATGTATTGCGGTACAGCAGTTGAGGTGTTTTCCACTAGCTGAAGTGTGTTGTGATGATGTAAAAGCAAAGGGCGCTGGTTGGTTAGTAGGCTTGGATTTAGGAAGTTAAAATGTCCAAAAAAAGAGTGAGATCAGCCGGCGTTGTGAACAAAACAGATGGCGGTAAGGCGTAATAAGGTAACCCAGAAACATGGCGACAGTGATCGAATCAGGCAAGATGTTCACAGGACGGAACTTGTATAAGTACTGGTAGACTATCAAAATAGCCAGCAAAGGTCATGGACTATTGTTGGCACAAAGGTCTGGGGAGGTGGAAAGCCACGCACAGATAAGCATGAAACGCATCAGTGAACTCTGGATTGATGTCAGTATCAAGCCTACGCCCACAGGATTCGTGTATTACAGCCCTATTGGTCGTAGCTGTTAACTCGGTTACTCTGAATGATGCTTGCAGTCACCTTTGGACACAAAGTCTGTGGGCGGAAAAAAGGAACATTTTTTGGCGACGGTGTTAAAGAATCATAGCCATTTCATTCAAGAAGATGCGGTCCATCCTACAGCAAAAGGAGTTTGAAAAAGCCAGCAGCTGCAGTTGGCTGAGTTACTGTCAAAAAAGTTGAGTTGGAACAGGAAGCGCAGCTGACATTGCAGGAAATCACAGGATGCTCAGCTTGAAACACGACACCAGAAGGGTTGAAAATTCGGTTTCTAGAGGAGAACTCAAGGTATGTCACATAGTTATTCGTGGCCAAAATGTAAATTGAGAGGTAACAAATCGGAAGCCCCAGACGACCTGTTATAAGTGTGGAGAGTTGCACCCCACCAGAGACTGCGTGTACAAAAATCACCAATGCTACAAGTGCACTCCACTTGGTCATGAAGAAACCAGCAGTCGGGCAGCGCACAACTATGGACGCGTGCTAACTCCAAGGTTGTAATTAAGTTTTAAATTCAAATGTACCAGGTTTCAGATTGAAAGAAGGAAGGCGATTCCTGCATTATTATTATTATTATTATTATTATTATTATTATTATTATTGTACAAACGATTCGAAGCCTAAACTAAGTACGCCGTACGATACCTAAACTAGAAACTACGAACAAATAAACCTAGACTTAGCGCACGGTCTGGGCAGAAGAATAAAACGAATTACCCTGTAACCGTGGTTCTATAAGGCATATTAAATACAGTACATGACTTACGATTAGGTTTTGCAATCGTAGTGCAAGTGGGCAGAAACTGTAGAGCGTGCGGCGGAGCGAGTATTTGGACAGTATCACAGTAACATAACAACATAATAAATAACGTCAAGGACAGGTCAGTGATCGAGTGAAAGGAATAAATATACGATATGGTAACCGTTTGTAGGACACAGTAAAGCAATGTAAATGAGCAGAATAATTAGGGAATAGAGATACCGTGTCCTCATGTAAGCAATCCAGGTTGGGGATACATCAAAGTTCCTTTCGGACTTTACACTCCCCCGGCGGTTTCGTAATCCGGACGATGGTTTCCACGTTATCAGTCTCTTCTTCCTAGTACGTTTCTAGTAGGCATAGCTATCTGACATCTCTTTTCAATACACCTTTGCTTGACCTCACCAGTGCTTGTCGAAATAGTTGGTCTTTGTTCTTGACAACTTCCTCCACAACACCCCTAGGTCACAGGCCTCTTGATGTGCGTAAATCACAAACTAAAACTAAATCCCCCTGCCTAAGATCTCGGATTTCAGTTAACCATTTCTGCCTGTTTTGCGGTGGCGGTAGATATACTCTGATCCACCTACGCCAAAACATATCGGACAGATGTCCTACCTGTCCACAATCTGCTCAATTTGATTAGTAAGTTGATCGGTGGGTATTCAAGCGACTGGTCATTTGCAAGCGTTAGTAGTTGCTGAGAGAATATAGCACTTTGCGAATCCGGGGAGTCGGGTAAGGCTACCAAAGGCCTCTCATTCAATATCCTTTCGATTTCAGTGAGTGTGGTTACAAGTACCTCTTCAGTCACAATCTCGCCGTTGAGAATGTTACGTAATAATTCAGGAGTGGATCGAATTAATCGTTCCCAAAATCCTCCGCGATGGCTATCACATGGAGGATTGAACTTCCAGTCAATCTCTCTAGCCAACGTAGACTTTGTGATCTTCGTCTGATCCAGCTGCTTCAGAAGATTGCGTAATTCTGCTTCAGCTCCGTGGAAATTCTGTCCATTATCGCTGTACATTACATTCGGCCGTCCGCGTCTAGCTGAAGACCTCGAAAATGCACATAAAAACGAATCGGTATCCATAGAGTGGGAAACCATGTGAACAGCCAGTGTAGTCAAGAAAACTGAACAAACAGCCACATCTCTTTTCATGTACGCGGCCACGTTTCACTACCAGCGGTCCAAAATAGTCGATTCACACTGCGGTGAACGCCGGTTGGTAGGTCAGACATTGGTCTGTTATAACTGGTGCCATCAGCTGACTCAGTGGCTTCGCATGGTTAACGCGGCATTTAGCACATTTGAAAAGCACGCGCCTTATGGATGAAAGCCCACCCACGATCCAGTAGCGTCGATGAAGATCGTACAACGTGTGCTGCGCACCAGAGTGTCCATTGATGTAGTGGTAGTGAAGTATAAGAAGGCGAGTGACAAAGTGGCGACCGGGAAGTAAAATCGGATGCCTCGCATCGTACGGTACCGAGAGTTGATCCAGTCTTCCGCTCACCCGAAGTATCCCACTAATGAGGAAGGGGTTGAGTCGTTTTAATCTGCATAACCTCAGGTTTAAATTTCGAACTGCTATGTCGGGTTCGTTGTACGCAAGGCGGCGCATCGCCTCAAAAATTTCTGACTGCATCAACTTAATTATCTGAAGCGTAGCTTGTCGAATTTCAGCACATTTTATCTCAGCAGGTTGGTCAGGTACAGCGCGTCTCAGATATTTCATCCCACTTTAATTGGTCTGTCCTGCCCACCCGAATAATCTTCTTTTAACTTGCACACGTTGCTTTCGCTAATTGCGCTTATCTTTGTGAACTTTATTGCGCATGTAGCATTTTTTGAGTAACTTGTAGACATTTGGTACTTATCCCAGATTCGTTGCTAACCAACTTACTTCATATGCCAATCCAGTTATGTAGACATAGCCGTATGCTTTAACAGATATATTTTATTTGATAATTTCATTTCAAGTGATTGACGGTTGCTTGACATCCCCGGTGTGGCTGCGCTTGATGTGCATGTTGACAAGGTGCCTACCTGTCTCTTACCCACTACCTCGTCCATACTGCATCCAGGAGACAGCTGGCCGTTCCTAGAGGGGACGGGGTGTACGGTCCTCGTAGGCGTGCTAGGCTCAAAGAGTGGTTTCATGCACTCAGTGTGGAGCGGACCACGGTCTAGCCAACGCTTGATTCCCCAAATACAACGTGCTTGTGTTTGCCTGTGAAGGAGTGTGGGCCGGCTCCGTTGATGAAACGTGACTCCCATCCACATGCCTCCCGGTCTTATTCCTTCGGGTTTACACTGGATATGGGGTGTGTGGATGGAATTGTGAGTGTTGAAGCGCAAGCCACCAATAGTCCCTCTATAGGCGCAGGCGTTCTGTGGCTGGCTACAGTGACAGGCAAATCCAAAACCGGATGCCGCCAACCATCTAAAGGTGATGTGGAGCAGTAGTGTCATGTGTGTCGATAGAATAAAATACTAATCTGTCAAAAAGACCGTCGCAGCTCCAAGAGTCACGCATTATACTACGTGACCGCTTCTTATTCATAACCTGTTACTATAGGTAGATGTAACTGCAAGCATCGAATTACGCAGGTGCACCGTCATGCCTCACATATATTTTAATGGCACACGGGGTGGCTTGGAAAGTGTTACGCCCACTGAGAGATAGAAAAACATGGACAGAGAGAACTCGTTGTGCTATTTGACGCGAGGAGCAATATTGCATGAAGACAATACGACCACATCGGAAGAAAAATAGAACATAGAGATGCTTATGCAATCTGTCATATGAATGATATACAAAACCAGGTTACATAATGAAAGAGTTAAGGCTGCGGGTTGACTTTCTTTTACAACTCAATACTTCTCAGTCAACTAATAGGGATAAAGACTGTTGGGTAGCGAACACAGTGCACTGTAATACATGATGTGGGATATGCGGGCTGCTTACAATCTCTGAGGCAACAACTTTGGACATTTAGACGTTGCGCCGTCTAACCTGGCTCATAGGAAATTTATACTAAGAGTGAACTAGTTGACCGCTTCAAGGTACTAAGTGTAAGACCAGTGGTGGAATGGTTCAGTCGTTCGGCGCGTAATCCACGAAAAACTGAGTAGGCACGGAAAGCGTCGCAGTGTCCCAACCACCGCATGCAACTGTTGATGGCTGTGTAGCAGTGAAACATCAGTAGAAGGTTTCAGATGTAATTCGTCGCAATCCCCACTCGGTGACGCAGGTTCGCGCAGTCTGGAAAAACATCAGACAGCTGTTTCGATCTGATGGATCTCGTCCCCACTACTCATCACTAATCAAAAATCCGTCCGTATAGCCTCTGAATGTTATGTCGTAGACAGTCGTTATACGGAAAGTCATAGCTCTGAGGCCAGACACTGCCACGGTAGTGGAGGATGAGCCGCGCTATATCGTAGTCAACTGCCAATCAGTTAGGTTCGCCGCCGTCACCCATGGCTAAGTGGCGCAAGGTGTTGGCATCGGGAAGTCATGGGGTCGGAACTCGACAGGAGACCGAGTAACGCGCACCCCTGACAACATCCGGAGGGTAGGAACAGCTGTATGGTGCTTTTACGAACGGTGGGAACCTGCGGGGCCGAGGGGACTGCGGCCGATCACATATAAAATTACGCTAAAATCCCCACTACTCATCAGTAATCAGTAGGAAGTACTTTCGTAATGCTGGCGCTCGAATGAACAAGGATTTCTTTTGAACCCGACAGATATCTGTCTGCGTACAGGCTTGAATTGGCTAGAGGCTGTGAACGATGGACGGTGTCGTGAAAATGAGGTTAGTGTGCCTGCAATTATAGAGCTTGGCGCTCTCGGTTGATAGATACATATGCGGCTGGCGCGGTACATTTAGGCCACGCAATAGTATAAATGAGGGCCATCGCGTGAAATGGTGATGGTCGAAGGCGGAAAAGGAAACGGCAAATTCGGAGAATAAAACAAGAGCCGGAAGCCAACGTGTCACACACGCTTGAGTCCATTTCGGCATGCTTTGAGTGAACCTATCAAACGTCAACAGAAGACTGGTTCGAGTATATTGCGGTCGCTGTTGAAGTTGTTACGTTGTTCTAATGAATTAGACAGACCGTGTTAGAACGTTCCGCATAGAGGTTGTAGCTTATACTTCCCGTTGCAGCAGTACGTGGCTCAGGATATGTCGTATTCACCCCCTCCCGCTATGCAGAGGGCGGTTGGTTAAATGGCCTGTACCATGTTTGGTACCTAGAAAGTATCAACGTAAACAAGACATTTGCGGTATACTTTGACCGTCTAGCAAGTATAATGCAACTCCAAGAATTCCGTAATACCGCAAATATAAATTGCCCGGATAGTAATTAAGTAAATCGGTCCTGCCACTGCATATAACACCAATGTTTGATTGCTCAAGTGACCTATCCGTGGACAAATGGTTATCAGGACCGACCTCTAAGTAAGCAAAGAAAGTGGTTGGTGGGCGATAGTACTAGATACGGGGCCGAGAATAGCTATCGCGCCTACCGCGACTCCCTCGGAAACGTATGCAGCTTGGATTGTGTTATAAAGCGCCTTACGTAAGGCAGAAAACGATAGCAATTGTTTTCACCTTTACGACGTAGGACGCCTGATAGGGACAAACTGAGAAGATCAGGTGGTGATAGCTATGGTAAGGGCTGTGGAAGAAACGACTGAGAACGTTCACAGCCATGGTACGCAAACGGTGGCACGAACTGTTTCATTCAAGGACTCTCCCCTCCCTAAACAGCACAGTATAGAATGGAAAAAACAAAAACGTCAAACGGGTGCAAAGGAGCAAAAAAACGAAGTGGTAGCTCACCGGCGGCATCCAGGGCTAGGGTGTGGTGAACACTAACCGCAAATTGTTTCCAGTCTCTGTCTGGAGCAAATCCACGAGCACGAGTGAGCATGAATTGTACGAGCGGTCCTTGTCGCGTAATCAGAGCGGCTTCTGACTTGTCCGCTTCATTCCGATCCGTAAGTACTCGTACTGCATCTATGGAAAGATCAGCATCTTCAGCGACATCCTCATGGCTTTCCATCACATCCTCTTCATCGTCATCCAGACCCCCACCGTTGTGGGTGCTGGAATTCGCCACAGCAGTGCGCGTAATGGGCTTTTTGAGTCCCAATTGACCGTAGTTATTCAGGCCACAAGCGTAAATGCTACCAGACGCCTGACAACGAGCGAAGGTCGCATAGCCTCCAGCCCATACGTCTGAGAAGCGAACGGAACCACGGACACGGCACTCGGTTGGATGGAGGAGAGCGCCTAGCAGAAAGAGTTAGGAAAGAGAAAAACCATGATTACATCGCATTAACCGATCTTAGTAGGCATGTGTGTCACAGTAAGCCACAAGCAAATAAACACCACCCCCCCACCCCCGATGGATTCGGGACACAACACTAGCCACCACTAAGTAAGAAAAACAAGCGTGGAATAAAAAAGGTGAGGAGTAGTGAACAAATACAAGCCACAGGGGCAGTTATAAACTCATGTTGAATGCATACAGTAGCGGTCATCACATGAAATCTGTAGCCGAATCGAGCGGCATATGATGGGCTGGGTGACTTAGCGGTGCTCCTCTCGTCTGCGTCAACACGACATTGTAGGCGCCGATTATGGCACACAAGCCGCGAACTAGTTCTTAACGATGTTTGACAACGAGATAAAGGCCCCCAGTACAGTATGAAAAAAGAACATTGTTAAAGTAAAATGAAAACGTGGCAAAACAGGTGATCCCGAAAGAGCCGAAAGGTACTTTTCTCTTTCCATATTGATATAAGTCAAGCACCAACCACACATTAGCAAATTAAACATTCCGATGAACTGAAGCAGTACCGATGACGCCGGAACCGAGAAAGTAAGAGCACAGTTTAAGGAAGAGGAATGTGAGGAGTTTTATAGGGCGAGTGGACCGGAATATTCAAGTCCATTTCAAATTAGTAACCACTATCAAGGTACTCAAGTGTGCAGGAGCACCCGGTTGTCTTGTGGACATGGTAGTAAAATGCAATAAGTGAAAGAAAAAGAGGAAAGGAAAATCAAAAGGAAAAGATTAAATATGAATCCAGAGTCGAAAGATAGGAGGACAAGAGGGTAAAAGTAGAAGATTTGATGTCAGCTTTTTTGACTATAACTCCAGTCTATGGCTTCAGTCTGCCGATCCGAGTGATCTTGTGAAGCACATTTAAAAATGACGCATGCCAACGGGGTCTGATCTACCGGTTAGATGCCACTATAAACTAGCTCGGACGACAAAGCTGACGACCGGGAGTGATTACTAAGTCAGCCGCAGTGCTAGAGAGCAACGCAAGGCTTATGGGCTGTAGGTAAAGTACGCTCCCGAGTCCGCGTAGGTTGTGCGCGTCCACCAAACAGCACAGAACCATGTTTGTTACTGAACACTTAGTAAAACGAAGACAAAGCAGTCCCTGAACCTGTCCAAACGGTCACGCTTGAGTGACCTCATGCGTTATGCCTCATAAGAAGCTGTGTGGTCAAAGCATGCAACAGGAAACAACCACTTGACTTTTTCGAAAAGAAGTGAGCCATGTCTTACAAATGCGACATAACATCTAGCAGTTTAACCAGTTGTGATAAGCAAGTTAATAGATGCCATACTGTTCGTGATCTGGGAGTGAGATACTCATGCTCGCTCAACTTCTCCGGACAAGTAGCTTACGTCACTGCAAAGACCAGACAAGGCAATTTAGAACTTTCAAAGTAAAAGAATCTACACTCTTCGCATATTCAGAACTTTCACGTCCCCTGTTGGAATACTGCTCGATGGTGTACAGTATCGCAAACAAAGGAGACCGCATTGTACTAGAAAATATACAATGAACATTCACACAGCAGTTATTAGGAACCTCAGCGAAAGTGGAATATTCCGAGCGATGTGAGAAACTCAAGCTTGATCCCATCTGGTTCAGGCGAATGAAGCACAAGCAGATCACATTCTATAACACCCTGCACATGAAAAGGTGTTTCCAGTCTTAACATGGCAATAATACAATCAGTAGCATACAACACACGAAATAAGAAACATTCGGTAGTGGAATGCAGGTCGAAGACCATCAGATACGCTAGCTTCTTCCTTAACAGATATGCACGAATCCGGAACAAATTGCCAACCGATATCCGTGCTAGCAATTCAGAGCAGGAATTTCGAAAAAAGATCAGAAAATACTTCACCGTGCAAAATGTGATTCATCTAATATAGGAATTTCACATAACGAACAGCAAGCATATGAACAAGGTCCAGGATTTATATGATCCAGAAACCAGTACACAAGAGAGAGAGAGCAAATATTGCAATGGTAAAGTCCCTACAGTCAGCGCCATTATTTTCTGTCTTCCACCTGCATGGCTATGTCGAAGAGAAAGTTATCACCAACAAGTGTGTTATGAGGAAAGAAGTCAAGCAAACACACATCCACATTCGCCGTCCTCAGTGTAAATGTTCCCACTACTTGTATTGCAATGGACTCTTACATTTATCTGTCAAAGGTGGTCCTCTTGCTCCAGTTTCATATGAGTGTCACTACCAGAATTCGATACTACTAAATAGTCTTGAACAAAATGCACTTAAAGGAAATTGGTAGCTACTTTATACATTTCCGTATTCATATCCTAAAGAGACCAAATCATACATAGATATCCTGTGCAACACCAGGTACCACACTGAAAAGGCAGGTAATTTTACACCCAATCAAAATTGAAAATCGATTTTCATTATTGTTGTACATTTTTCCATCCTTCGTACTCGTTAAACTGGAAAATGCTTTAGTTACCCGAACATGCCGTCACAGACGTGACTCGCCAAAAGCGAGAATACACAATTTATTCAATTAGTTAGTTATGATATCCATGGGCAGCGGTAAAATAACAGTGATGAGATCAATATCTGTGAGATCTTCATAGGAAGTTCTGCGATATATATATATATATATATATATATATATATATATGATTCTGTATACAAGGAATGTGCCATCAAAATCATGGCAAAAGGGAAGACAACAAGCATACAAAAGAAAACCAGAAAAAAGACCGTCCTTTTTGGGGGTTTCACACACGCCGTTTTGAATACTTTTGTTCTTTTTATATACTGGAGATTAATCAAGAAATAAAACGGCATAACAACACTGGCGCCACTGATGTTTGTTACGTGCCATCATATCCAGCGTTTGCACCCACAGGAATTCCGAGTCACGTGATCCCCAACCCGGGAGGCGCGCTGATGCGGCTGAAGCTAAGTTGGAGGCTACTTTCTTCATGCTTCTTTTCCACGTCGTTGATTGTTCACCGCGACACTTTTCCAATCGCTTCTGGGAAGCGCAAATGACGCTCGCCGGGGAAGGCGATAGACTGGCATCCGCAGTAAGTGGCCGAACCAACGCATGTGGTGTCGGAGAACAACATGTTGAAGGCTGGGACTATTCGCTCCAAGCACTCGTCTACGAACCTCCCTATTGCTAATGTAAGGTTGCCAGCACACATGAAGAATCCATCGCACACAACGGTTGTCAAAAACTGACAGTCGTCTCATGTCTTCCGAGCGAACATGCGAGGTCTCACAGCCGTACAGCAGGACCGTGAGGACAAAAGCATTATACACCCTGCCCTTAAGCTTGAGACTAATTTCACGACAACGCCGTAGGTGTCTCAGTTTGATGAACGCAAGGCGGACTTCTGCAATGCGCTGTGAAACCTCATCATCAACAGCCGTGATGCGATTCCCTAGCTAAGTGAGCAATCCACCTGTTCCAGAATGTCACTAGCAATAGTGAGCGCAGACGCAGGCCCCTGCTAATCCTAAAATAGCACTTCACATTTGGCTGGGGTGAAATACAAGTCATAATTGGATGCCTCAATCCATAAGCGGTTCAAGGTGTTTTAGACGGTTTGTAGATCGTCACCCAGCAGTGATGTCGTCGGCGTAGACCAAATCTGCGATTCTGGCGCCATGGAGAAGCTCAACACCGCAGTTTTGGATTCCTTCTAGCGCTCGTTGTATATCTTCGATGGCAAAATTGAAAATGAAAGGTGAAACAGGGCAACATTGGCGAACGCCGCTGGGGACAGCAAACGAAGAGAGTCCACCGTAAGCCCTAATTTTGCCTGACGTGTCTGTACAGTTCCCTTAGGATGGCAAGAAACTTGGGCACACCCTTCCTTAGTAGACAATTCCACAAAGTAGCTCTGTCTACTGAAACGAATGCCTCGCGGATGTCCAGGAACACTACGATTGTTGGTCGACGGTGGACACGGCGGAGCTCCAGAATTTGTCAGGACGTGAAGATTTGATCAATGCAACTTCTGCGCTGGAGAAAACCGGCTTGTTCTTCTCGGGAAAAACTCTCTGGTGGAGAAAAGTATGCGAAGAAAGATGGACACAAAAATCGTTGAAGCAACTGAGATCAGCGAGATTCCGCGGTAATTAGCGCTATCCTCTCGGGGGCCTTACCTGTGAAGCGGGACAACCATTGAGTCTCTCCATGAGTTGGGGACCTCCTCATCAGTCCAAACCTTCGTGAAAAGCGAGAGCAATTCGTTGACAAGTACATCCTCGCCATATTTGAAAAGTGCAGGAGGGCGGCTGTCAGAACCGGGAGCTATATGCCGTCTCAAAGATCGGATTGCGCTTCGGATCTCTACTTCGGTAGGAGGGTCAACGGGGACAGGCCAAGCACCATCCACTGGAGATGGAGGTGTCACAAAGGGTTGTGCTGCGTAATAAAATTGAAGAGCAAAATGCTCAGCCCAGCGCTCCAATTACTTCTGCAGGCTGGTGATCTTTGTACCGTCTAACTCGCAGATTGTCTGACTGATGGCGTACGAACTGGGACGAAACAAGCTGCGGCAGTTTCCAATCGGTGCAGTGGCTTTCATCTCAGCAGCACGCCTAGGTTACCAAGATTCACGGTAAGAGCGAAGGCTTGCTTTCAGTCGTAGAGAAATAGACCGACGAATTTCGTTGTGTTTCGCGTCAGCGGGCATGGTGCGGCGACGATCCAGAAGTTCCGAGGAAGCTGCCGAGATTCACCTTTTAGATGTGCAGAGTACGAGGCCGCAACTGGAAAAACCTACGGACAGCATCGATTCTGTTCGAATTACTTGCGCGAAAAGGTGTTCCCACGAAATATGTGAACATCCTTCGTGCTCTATACTCGAACACTACAGGCCGCGTCAGGGTCTACGGTGTCCTATCGGATAGCTTTTCGACTACAAGTGGCGTTCGTCAGGGTTGTCCGATTTCCCCGTTT